GCTGGTTTACTATAATTAATTTGACCCAGACGTATATGAGTGTATTTTTGCCATTGTATGTTACTTCAGCCTTGGCAGTCAACACATTAAGTCAACACATGGTCAGCATTACTGGAAATACACTACCAAGTGAAGTTCTTTTACTAAAAAGGCCCAGGATAATTCAAGGAAAGAACTCTTATTAGTTCTTTCTAACCTTATTAGGGCTAAAGCTCTGGAGACAAGTAGGTAAGCAAACCAGCAGTTGTGTTAATGTTCTGGTATGGCCTCTGATCATCTGTAAGTTGCTCACCCTACTTAGAGTAAAGACTTGCTGATACAAAAGGGCCAGACCACAGGCAGTAGTTTTAATACTTACAAATGGGGCCCAAATGGTTTCTCATGCTACATTTGCTGGTCCCCTCTTAGCTGAAACCTGCAGCACCCCACCAGCCAGCTGAAGTGCTGCAGAGGCACTTTTTCTGCCTTCAGCCTTGCTCCAGTGATGCAAGGACTAAGGCGTCTCCAGTCTCCAGCCTCCAGTTTGAGACCTCCACAGCCTTCCTGTGCGATGGGGTGACCATTCAAAAGCAGGGAGGAGGAGTTCAGAACTGAGTATCCTGTCTGACTGCCTGTGAGTGGAGATGTAAATCCTTGTATTCCTCATCCTTGCATGTAAAGACAACACATTTCTGTAGTGTTCTCCCCAATGTGAGGGGAAAACCAAAATTTCTGTGCAGTTATCAAGAGATATTTGCACTTGGTGAAATCTTCCATTGAATCAGTTATGTGTACAAATACACAAAACAAGCTGTTTACTGTACTGGAAACACATATTTTTACACGGAAAATATATATTTCCATGCAGAATAATTCCCCAAAAGACTGCTCAAAGTGGAAAGAATATTCACAACTGATCCATTCTTCTTGGTATGGATTTCTAATATATTAGGAAACATATTATTCTGCCGGGAAACAAATGCTAATAAATATTCTTTCCATCCCTACTTGTGACCAGTTTCAAGTCTGACCAAGGCTCACTTGAGTTTTGATCAGACACAAAGCGAAGTTTAGTTTCTGCCCACTCTATCCTTCTGTGCAAATTCTGTTTTTACTTGCTTCAGAAGCAAACTAAATGATTCAAAAGCAAAACAATTGCTGTGTCTCTACTGATTTCAGTAGGGAAAACAAGAGCCTGAAGCCTTGAAATGGTCATGGGGCAAGAGGGTCTTTGGAAATGGCTTGCTGGTTACCCCATCTGTCAGTTCTGGCATGCAGACAGAATTTTAATATTCCTATTGACATTCTGTTTCCACTTATTGCCAGTAGGGAGAGTTAATAAGCCTGCAGTTCTGGAAACAACTAGTGAGGAACAGGGAGCTGCCCCACCATTAAGGACTCTCTTTCCCCCAAGGATCTTTAGTGGTAAATTGCTGTTTGCCCCTCACCAGCCATTTATAAGTCTACAGACAATTCAGCTTACAGGGGAAAATTAAATCATATTTTTTTAATGATCAGAATTAAACTGAATTTTTTTGCATAGGAATCTCTCTAATTTAGGAATCCAAACAAAAAGTAAAAATAAAACATGAGCAGAGTAAAGGTACTATAGAGCTGCACTTGGCAGCTATATACTCTGAGTAAAGATCCAAGCAATTATAGTGAGATAAGAATTACATAGAAAGCAGATTATTTTAAGATTTTACATTTTTATTAGGTGTGACGTTTGTGGGGGGAAGTGTGTATTACACAACTTTTTCTCTGATTTAGTCAGAGTTCTCTAAGTTTCAGGCCAGTCCCAGTGTAACACAGTGTATCTGGAATTTAGCATAAGTTTTTATTTTCAGATTGCTAAATGTTATAGAATCCTTCAGATAGACAGAAATAACATTTTATTTTGTGTGTGTGTGTATTTTTGCAGTTATCATGTGATGTGAAATTGGACCCTCGTCCAGAATATCATCGGTGCATACTGACTTGGCATCACCAAGAACCACTGCCTTGGGCACAAAGTACAGGTTAGCTACTTGCAGGCATTTTCTTCCTCCTCTACTCTCTGACAAGGTTGAAGTGTTTCAGAATGTGAAGAACAAGAGGAAGCACAAGGGATTTGAGCTTTCTTTACACATGATCATTATGTAACATCTACCACTGAGACCCACACATTCTAGATCTGTGTGATTCCTTCACCAGACCCCTCCCACAAATCCAGATCATCTTTTTCATCTTTTTTCAGCATAACACAGAAAATGATAAGCATAAATAGCTCATGCTTCCTTTCCCTCCCATCTACCTTTTCACAAGAATGGCTTAATGCAGCTAACAGTTCTAAATATGGAACTATTAGGTCTGGCAGTCACAATATCCATCTCAGAACTAAAATGCTCCAGGTCTACTAGGGATGTCTTTGTATAAGAGAACGTAAAAAAGAGTGTGAATGGGGGAGGGTGTAGACAGAGATGTGTGAATTGAAGCATGTAGCTGTGGCCCTGCCCACCCAGGGCACATGGTCCACAGAAGTCACACACAAGGAAAGAGAGTCCTCAGGATGAAAAAAAAAACCCCAATGTTTCTTCAACTATGTACTAGAGGGCTTTTGTATCGTTCTGTTCAAGGGGGCATCCAGGAGGTAAGATGGAAAAATTGTACATGTGAAAATTAATATGAGTCCATTTAATCATGATCATTTGATAGAATGGAATTGCATTGTCAGAATTCTAGAGGAGGAAAGGCCAACCATTATTTCCTAGATAACTGCCATGTCTTATTTCAAACCCCACATCTTCACTTTATGTGGCCATTCTAATTTCTGTTGTTTTTTTTGTTTTGCTTTGAAAACTGGCTTCATCTATTTCTCTGTTCTGTGGCATTTGCCCTACTAACAGGATTTTTTTTTTTTTGCTTTTTTGCTTCCCTGTAGGGAATCAGATGAGCAGTCGTCTGATGAGTATGCGCAGTGCCAATGGACTGTTGATGCTACCTCCAAAGACAGAGCAGTATGTGGAACTTCATAAGGGCGAGGTGGTTGATGTCATGGTCATTGGAAGACTATGATGTCACCAGCAAAAGAGAAGTTTTGATGCATGTCCACATATCATTGACTGTATCCTGTAATATGCAACGGCACAGCTAGTTTTTCTGATTTGGATAAAAGTTGATCAGTATAGTCAACACCTTGAACTATATTTCAAATGGATTTAAATAAATACCTTTTAAAAAAACTTTAAAAACAAATCTTAAAGAAATCTATTCTGATTATATCAAAGCAACTTTTTCCTTTCTTGCAATTGCTTTGTGTGTTCAATGCTAGTTCCAATAGCGGTAGCTTTTAGTAGACAGCAGTAGGTGCCTGCAGAACTTGTGTTTTTTCTCATCTTTAAGATACAACTACTTATGCTCTTAAAACAAGGCTGTCTGCTTATTTATACTAGTGTAGACAACACTTGGATTTCCCTTATTAGTATGCTTCATAACTGCTTCACAGAGAGCTTCTGCTTGTTCTTTATCGTATCTCGTGTTGATGTGCACAGTGCCAAAAGCCGAGTGGCTGAACTGGGAACCCAATCAAGCCCCAAGGTTTTCCCCCTTTGCTGCGCGTTCAGGGATATCTGTCATCCCAGCAGCCACCCAGCTCAGTACTCTTGGGCAGTAACTGGATACCTTTTGTTTAAACAAACAACAAAAATTGCTTCCTTAAGTGCTGACAGCCTTTTTAACCAATACATTTAAAAATGTACAGAATTAAAATCTAAAAAAATCAAAGACTGATCTTGTACAGATATTAGTGTTACCAGCATTCATGTGGAATTTAAAAGAGAAAAGAGATAAAACTAATGTTGAACAACTCTGTACCATAACATTTTCTGTAATGATACTGAAACTTAAATGAATAAAAAAAAATCCTGGATCATTATTTAAAAGATGACTGTGTTAGCCTTGTTGTTTAATAATGGGGGGAAACACTACTTTCTCTTTGGGGGAAGGATGGCCTGGCTCAGCAATGAAATGAGCACAATTACATTTGAGTTTTCTTTTTTTAAAAAGACACTAGTGGAGAGATTTTGTAGCCTCTTCTTTTTAACAAAATAATAAAGTGGTGTCCTCTTGCTATTTGTTTTGGGAAATGTATCAAGCTTGTACCTTCAGCAAGAATTCCAATATGTGCTTTCAGGTAGAGCACTACAATGACTATAATACTATTTGAGTTGGGAGACTAAGGGGCGAAACAAACCGCTCTGAAGGGGAGGGATTAAGCTGCCCCCGCCAATGCTGGATTGAGGCCACAGCTATCACATGCCATGGCCCCAATCTGCCTTTTTGTGCCAGAAAAAGCTGGCTTTTTCCGCCCTGCTGTGGATTCCCAGCACTCCTGCAGTGTGCAGCGTGTGAACACTGCGCCACCGGAGTGCTGGGAAGCCGGCCCACATGTGGGCAGCTGGGCAGCATGAAGCCAGCTTCCCAGCATCTAGGGGGTGTGTGTCGTACATACACCACTCCCCAAACCACTGGGAAGCCAGCTTGTTATGCTGGTTTGTTTTGCCCCAAAGGTGACAGAAGTAGATTGCTCATAGATTGGTTTGTGGAGCCCTCTACTATAAAGATTGTTGTTGAGTGAACTTTGACGTATGACAGTACTGTGAATGAGAGACCTCCAAGTCACCCTATCATCAACTGCTCTTCTCATGGCCGTGGCTTCCTTGATTGAATTTATCCATCTGTAATGCAGTCTTCCTCTTTTCCTACTGTCTTCTCTCTTACCAAGTATTATTGTCTTTTCCAGTGAATCATATCTTCTCCTGATATGTCCAAAATATGACTGTCTCAGTTTAGTCTTCTTGGCTTCTAAGGAGTGATCAAGTTTGATTTGCTCTGTTGTTGTTGTGTGTCTTCAAGTCATTTTTGACTTATGATGACCCTAAGGTGAATCTATCATGGAGTTTTCTTGGCAAGATTTGATCAGAGGGGGCTTGCAGTTGAGACTGAGAGAATGTGACTTGCCCAAAGTCACCCAGTGGTTTCTGTGGCCAACTAGGGATTTGAACCCTGGTCTCCAGAGTTGTAGTCCAACACTCAAACCACTACACAGCTGGCTCTCAAGATTTGCTCTAGGACCCATTTATTTGTCTTTTTAGCAGTCCACAGTATCTGAAGAACACTTCTCCCTCACCATATTTAAAATGAGTTGATTTTCTTCCTACTAACTTTCTTCACTGTCCAGCTTTCTCAATGATACACATAAATTGAAAATACAATGGCATGAAAAATCCTAACTAGTAGGATTTCAATTATATATCTTTACACTTTATAATTTTATATTAAACAGTCAGCGTTCTGCATCCATGGATTCCTTATCCACGAATTCAACCATCCATGTATTTAAAATATTTTAAAATATATAAATTCCAAAAAGCAAACCATGATTTTACTATTTTATATAGGGGCATCATTTTACTGTGCCGTTGTATTTAATGGGACTTGAGCATTCATGGATTTTGGTATCCACAGGAGGTCTTGGAATCAAATGCCAGTGAATACCAAGGGCTCATCGTATGTACACTTTACAATTATACATCTTCAATTATGTATCTTTACACTTCAGGAACTTGTAAAGGTCCTTCATAGGTGCCCTTCAAAGTCGTAATCTTCTTCTAATTTCTTGACTGAAGTTTCTGTTCTGATCAATGACTGCACCAAGGTATGAAATTTTTAAAAAACTATTTCAGTATCTTCATAATCTACTTAGTTTTCAAAGGGGCAGAACAGACAATCAGGAAAAAGTGGCTGGAACCTGCTTTTTCCCAAAGCAGGTCGAAATCCCACTCTCCACACTGGTCACTCCCAAACATGCTGCCTACAAATTGAGTGGAAACTGCTTTACTTTGCCCATCTGTTTCACCCCTTGATCATCTTTGGTCATTATTATTTTTTGCTTTCTTAATGTTCAGCTGCAAATCTGCCTTTGCACTTTCTTCATTGACTTGCTTCAGCAATTGTTCCAAGTCTTTTCTATTTTCTGTTAGTAGTATGGTGTCATCTGCATATATTTAAACTGTTGATTTTCCTTCCTGCAATTTTCATGCCTTCCTCTGAGTCTAATCCTGCTTTACATGTGATATATTCAGGGTAAAAGTTAAACTGATATGGATGATAAAATGCAGCTTTGCCTGATCACCAATTGGAAATCATTTCATTTCTCCGTATTCTGTCCTGATGGTAGCCTTTTGTCCTGAATACAGGTTATGCATCAGGACAATCAAATGTTGTAGTGCATCCATTTCTTTAAGAACAAGCAAAAGTTTTTCATGGTCTACACAAAAGCTTTGCTATAATCTGAAATTCTTTGGTGTACTTCATTATCCAATTTGCAATATGATCTCTAGTGCCTATTCCTTTCCTGAACCAAGCTTGGACATCTGGAATTGCTCACTCCAAAAGTCTTTGTTGTAGAATTTTGTGCAACACTTTGCTTACATGAGAGAGTAATGCAGTGGTCCTATGGTTACTGCTATTGCTGGTGTCCCCTTTCTTGGGGACTGGAATATATATTGAGCATTTCCAATCTGTGGTCATTCTTTTGTTTTTCATATTTGTTGACAGGTTTTAGTTAGAACTAGAGTAGATTCTATCTCTGTAGCTTGAAGTTTCTCCCATGTGCCTTGAGTGTGCAGCTTCCATTTCACTTGCTAAAATTGTGGATGCACCTTCAAATCGTTCATCCCTGAATGAATCTGTTACTGTTTCATCTCCTTCATGTAGTTCATTAGCGTACTGTTTCCATCAGCTTTTTACTTCCTGTTGGTCATGGAATGTGATCCCCTGCTGATCACATAGCATCCCCACTCTTGGTCTGTTTCCCTTTGATTCTTGGTCTCATTCTTCCTTTTTTTGTTGTCATTTTTTATTTCTCTGCATTGATTATTATAGTAGTTCTCTTTGTTCCTATACACAAGTCACTGAATAGCAGCATTTAGGATTCTGGCTCTATTTCTGTCACCCTTAACATTTGCTTTTCATCTGTCTTCTGTTAAAGTTTCTCTTTCTTATTGGCTACCAATAGTGTCTTTTTACATTCCTCCCTGACAATGTCCCTGGCCTTCAGTCCAGGGTTCTTCTGGCTCCTAATCACTAAGGCGTAATAGTGCAAATCTATTTTGACATATTTTTTTAATTCTACAGGGATGTTCCTCAGGTTGTATTTTGGCATGAGGTTCAGTGTTCTTCTTTAGCTTTAATCTAATTTTTTATATCAGTAATCATGGTCTGTGCCACATTTGGCTCCTGGTCTTGTTTTTGCAGAGGGAATGGAGATTCTCCATCTTCTGCTTCCAGTTATGTAGTCTATTTGGTTTCTATTGCCTCTTTAGCTGCTTGAAACATGTTTGCAATGAACAAGGTGTTGGTCTCACAACATCCTACCAGTATCTCTCTACTTTATTTCTTGATCCTTTTCTTGATCTTGATCTAGATCCACATTTTGTTACATTCTTTTATCCTTCTCTATTTCTTACTTTTTCATTCCAGGCACCTACAAGAAGTGCTGTTTATGTGTAGTCAATTTCCCCTGGAATCTAGCACAGAATCTTTCAATTTCATCTTCTTTTGCCTCTTTAGTTGGAGCATAAATTTGGGAGTATAGTTATATTTATGGATCTTCCCTGGTCCTATTGATATTATTCAGCAAGCTTTTGTGTTATTTCCTTTGACTGCTTTTTCTACATCTCCCCTCACTATTAATGCCACCCCATTTCTTTTTAGATATTCATTTCCTGAGTAAAACACTGTATTGGTAACACTGACTCCAAATGTGCCATTCCTATCCACTTTAATTCGCTCACTCACAGTAGTGCAATGTTTATATGTTCTATTTCTTGTTTCACTATTATTAGCTTTCCCTGATTCATGCTTTTTACATTCCATGTTCCTATCATATGTGTTATGGAGCTTCAGACTTTCCTTTCACTTCTTCCAGCTTGAGTCCAGTTGTGTCATTAGTCACAACATTACCTGTAGTTGTCCTCTGCTATACCCCAATAGCTTGTTGAGTGCCATCCAACCTGGGAATTTCACCTTCTGGCACTATCTATTGTTTCATTTTGTATTGCCTCATGATGAGGTTTTCATGGTGTAAGGTCCTCAACATGCCTTTTACCATGCCTCCCTGCTCTGTCTGGAGACTACTCCATTTAGAGATTGAAGTAGTAAGCAGGAGAAAATTAAACCACACATTTTAAACCATGATTAGCAAAAAAAAAAAAAAACTGCTTTGATGTCCATATATCACAGTTGTTGAGAGCCTGAAAAGATAAATGGGCCTGCTAGGCATAATGGTAGAAGTTGAAGGATCTTCACTAGGTTTTTATATTACTTGAGTTACCTGATTATTATCTGATTATTACCTGATCAGAGTTAATCTAGCAAAAAGTTTGCTCACTTCTGATTGCACATATATAAGTACAGTATATGCATGTTTCCCAGCAGAAAAGAAGGAACATATTCTGGATGGTTTCTCCTCCCACTCTCTCCAACAGGGAGGGAAAAGGTAGACCTTTTGGTGTCCACACCAGGAGAAACAGTCCCCAAAGTGGTCAGTCTTTTTCCTGCTGCCACTCCAACAGGACATGATTTTTCTTCGCCAGTCTTCAAGCACTCCAGAACATTTCCCATTTTCCTTATCTTTCCTTGCCTTTCCTCCTCTTGCCCTTGTTTTTTTTAAGAAAAATTCCTTCTGCCTCTCTTCTCTCCATATCACTTCACACACACACAGACACTTTTATTCCCCCAAGAGCTCAAGAAGCCAGTTAATTATTCCAATAATTTTTGTTGATGTGCTTTCACTTCTTGCCCTCTGAACATTTTCTTTGCAGCATGTATTATGAGAAGACTGCACTTCTAAATCATTCTAAGCAGTTCCAAATTCTGTTCATCATGATTTAAAATGTAGTAGTGCCCTCTGCATTTTAGTCATTTGATACCACAATCCCTACTGGATCTCAAATCACAACACTTGTATATGGAAAATTTACCATATTATTTTCTGGGTGAGCAAAATGATGAGCTCAACTAATTGCCTTTTTTGTCTCTAGATCTATTTCTATGGCTCTTATTACAACAATTACATTTTTCATTCTCCCTTGTAGAAGGATATTCAATTCTGTCTGCCTTCATGTCACATGAAAGAGATAATCCATCACCTTTAGAGAACTGGATGACTAAGGGTTTTGCTAATAGGTGTCGAGTCTTTAATTTGTTGCTAGTTCAGACCGTATGGAAAATGGCTAGGACTAAAAATTATCATCTGAAAGCTGTTCACTGCTTCTTGTGAAAATCACTAATGTAATGAACTCTTCAACTTAGCTGTCAGAGAAAGCCGTGAAAGCAGAAGGTGGTTGATTGAGGTTTCAAAGCAAATTTCTTTAACAATTATTCTTAAGGATTGCCATATCTTTGAGCAGAATATTAAGAGACTTCTTAGCACAACATTGGTCAACTCTCTACCAGAAATAAATACATTTTGTTTCTTTATAACACTACAAGTTATAAAGAAGTTTCACTTTTCTCTCTTTGTCACAGATCATATTCAACCAATCTGTTATTATCCATTCATAAATATGTAAGCACATTGTCTTATTTCATATTAACACTATAATAACAAAAAGGAATCCTGTGGCACATCAAAAATGTCTTTCCTATCAGGTCATATCACCTAAACAAGAGTTTATTGCTCAAAAGTTCATCTCTCATTTAAATCAACTGTAGATTATATGTGGAAAGTGTGAGCCAAGGTACTCTTGACAAAATATAATCTTGCTTCCTGGGGCTTTCTTAGCTAACCAAATCTCTCTTCTGTTCCTCCATCCCAAAAGATGTTGGCTCCTCCTTGTTCTAAGGTTAACAGTTATGAGTGAAGTCTACTTCTCCTGATAAGTTTCAGGAACACTGTAGGACTACATGAAGGCCGCTGGGTAGATTAGTGTTCCATCAGCTGACCCAGGAATGCTTGCTCTACCAACATTGTTGTATGCCTTCAAGTCATTTTTTATTTATGGCAACCCTAAGAACTTACTACAGTTTTCTGAGACTGAGAGTTTGTGA